GTATGATGACAAGAAAGAGTCCCACATGCTAAGAGCAACATTTGATACCCAGATACCAAAAAAGCCATGTTATAAACTTGGAACTTTCCTTACTTTTTCTAGTTTCAAGTGCCTTACTTCTTTCCTGTTGTTAAGCTCCTTGCAATCATATCATTAAGAGGGGGAAAAAGGACCTACAATAAGCAGTCAATTAGACAATATTTAAATATCAGTTTCATTTTTCTAACTAAGCAAAATATAAAAATGCTCCTTAATGTCATCATTCGGAAACTTATAAAACATATGATAAACTGGGAGAATGCTAGACCATGCTTAAAGATAGCACCAAAGCTCATAAAGACATGTATAATTGGAATTTGCAACACTGAAATACACCACAAAGTCAAGATAGCTACATTTGAGGTTTTTGCATGATATCTGTTTCAGGGGCCAAAACTGAATGATTGCTTGGTTTATGCTCTTTCTTACCTCTTTCTTATTTATTTAAAATGTATTTAAAGACCTGAAAACTTATGAAAGATGCCAGCTAATAAAACTCCCGGGGGAGTTTTAATTATACTAATGATGCCCAAAGTATCAACTACGAATTTCCCCAAGTCCTAGAAGTTATGGAGGTGGATAGAAAACTAATCAAGCATGATGCACTAAACTGCTTATTGCCTTCTCCTTCCTCCTCCTCCTTATCCCATCCTCCTCCATTTTCTAACATTCATTAATTAAAGTAGAACTAATGACTTCATCCTAATGTGCTTGTAAATCCTGTATCTGATATGTGATGAGTTTTGCCACATGGAAGTACAATACATAATACTCTTAAGCAGAAACATAAGCTCAAAGGAGACTTTGCAGGGATGATCATGAATCTTGTTTTTCTCAAAAGTTATCAGGTGTCTAGGGCTAGCCCTGGCGTTTTAATGCAGAGATCACCACAAGTAAGTCCTTCCGCCAATGTTTATACGAAAAGAGAGTGCACCGTCCTTCCTCGGTTCAACAGCAAAAGCATACCAGGTGCCCATTATTCTTTTCTCCGTATACAGCTGGTCTTAAGCGTGGTTTTGTGTTTTGGACTTCCCTGTGTCTCAATCAGCCAAAGAAAGATTCAGGAACTGCTCTGCAAAAAAGCAACCGCTGCGAACAGTGAAGACCATTATTTGCTCTCCCACTGCTGGCAGAGGTCAGCATCCCTGTCATTAGCCATGTCATAACATAATTGTATTACTGCTCCTTACGTGGGCAGATACTGAGCAATAACTGAACACATCACATCGTTGTAAAAATGACAAAGTGCCATTTCTTTGTCCCAATTTAGCATAAAATCAGTGAAAACAATCTTCAGAAATGACACCGCACTAAGAAACTGAAAGGAACTGTTATTACTCGGTACGTTCTATTTAAACTGATGCTCTGACATCCTCCACTAGAACAACAACAAAAAAAAATTTAAAAAATGGGGCTGTATTTTACAACTGAACTTCAATCGCGAGCTCCTTGCAATCCAATTTATTTGTGTAACATTCAGCTCAATTAAGGGATGCACCGTTACTTAAAATAGTCTTAATTAGATGAAGCGCGACTGTGGTACCCATCCCTCAATGGGTGAAATATTACCCTGCTTTAAGTTACGAGAGGTGGAGTCTGTGACTTCCAGCCTGCGTGCTTCTGCCCAGTCTATGAGCGACACTGCATTTCAAAGGCTGACCTACATACAAGCAACAGCCATCCGTCCTGCCTGCTCCTGTGAGAGATGCCTCACACAGTTCCCATAACCAGCATGGTTGGCATTGTTCTCACTGTCTCCGGCAATGGGCTATGTAAAAATGGAGGCCAGTTTGCATAGTGATGGGTCCCTAACGCAGTGTGCTTCTGCAATAGAGCGACGAGAGATTCAATGGTTCCCACAGAAATTCCTCCTCCAGAGTTTATTAACTGAAAAATATAAAGTGGTATTTTTGGCAATCTGTAGAGAGCAGCAGTGCTAGAAAGTGTTAGCAGAGTACAACCACCCCACTTGAGTTTAGAAAAGCTTCAGGAAGTGGATATTCATTTTCTCTATTGGGGTGTCTTCTGACATTGAAAAAAAATGGCATTGGGGAAAGTAGTTACAATGGCATGATTCTGAAGCACAGGAAGATACTAGTTCTGCTGGGATTTAGCAAGCCAACTTTTAAGTAAAGTGTTGACAGATTTAAAATAAGGATAATCAGTAATGCATGATCTTATCTCCCTATTAAAAACAAATAGCCTGACAAAGTGACTGTTTCTTGTAATGGACTGCATCCTCCTTGCACCTCTGGAAGATACCAGGCTTGCTCTGCAGCCTTGTCGCTTTAAGGAAGTCTGCTTCAACTTGTTTTTACTAAACGTAGACACAGATTTCTTTTTTTCATCTCTTCCAAACTTCTGCCCATCCCTCATGCTCTTGCAAATCCACTCGAGAGTCATTGCAAAAAATGAAGCTAGCTGACTACATGAGAAGCAATTAAAAAATGTGGAACTGGACAGGAATGCTGTACCCATGGTAATCATGATGGAGTAGGAAATTCTATGCCTGGGCTTTCTGGGCCTAGAAAATCTACTCAGGACATTCAATAGAATCAGGGCTCAGTGACAAATACATTTGATAGACCGCTAACACAGAAAAGGGCACGAGAAAAGATCCTGCAAGAAACATTTCATGAAGTCTCTTCCTTCTCTGACAAGTACATCTTATGACTTTGCATCCTCAAAAAATCCATTCTTCCCTGGATAAGTTAAATAGAAGACAGGCAACTAGTCTATAGAAAGGGTTACTGATTTGCATTTAAAAAGAACAGTTTGCTCCTCACTCACCGGGTGACTTAAAAGGAACTTCGGCGAGCTGGTAAAAGAAATTCTGAAGACTTTCTAAATTAATTTATTCAATGCACGGCACAACTCACTGAAATTACTTAAAGCACTTCATTAGAAAACGATTTAATATGTTGAAGTAATTCTTGATTTTATAAAACATTTGGCCTTTAAATTAAACTCGACCCTACTGTCACAAGAGTGATGCCTCTGAAACGTGTATCCAAGTCCTTATCCTCTTGCTGGAGCCTCACATCACTGATACATTTGATAAGATGTGTCCAGAATCATTGCCAGAGCGGTTCTGACCTTTTGCATCAGTGACTACTGTGGAATATGTCTCTATTATCCATGATAGGACTGCCACTTGATTATTTTTTTAATTCCTGTTTCAGTAAAAGCGTCCTCAGCAAAATTAAATGTTACAAACACAAAAAATAGCTCACGCACGAAGGCAAAAACAGATTTTAGAATTTAAAAAACTATGCTACCCACTAATGGTGAAACTTCAGCACCCAAAAATCCTCTTGCCAAAGTTCCCAGTGCCTTCCAACTGGCCCCCGGCTAACGGGATCCATCCCTGGGTGATAAACAGCCTTTCTTGCCTTTGCCCAAGATTACATTTCCCTCGCTTCAAACTTGCTTGAGAACATCACACACACAAAACGCTCATCCCTGTTCACAGCATTTAGGAGCGTTTCCGTGGGGTGAGAGGTTTGTGGTTCACTTAGCTCACAGCTGTGTGTGTGTGTGTGTGTGTGTGTGTGTGTGTATGTGTGTCCATTGACCCAGTCCATTGAGTGGTGGGGAACCTGGGGACTGAGGCTGCAGCGCGCTCAATGCCTCAGTTATCACATTTTTTAAAAGCTGTTTGAGGATGACTCGCCCCCGGGCAGGCAAATGTGAGGAAGTCCCAAGGATTTATCCAGCGGAATCCACCAAGGGACCAACAGGGAATGGCTCGCAGGGACTGTGAGGACCCGGCAGTGTAACCACCATGCTCCAGCCGGCCATCCAAACCGCTCGCCCAACTCAACTCTCCCCGCCGATGTCCACCCGGAGGGACAGCTTAAAACACGTCCAACAAACAACCCTAAAGCGGGGATGGTCCTGGTCCTAGGGTTGCTCTCAGGAGGCCTGTCCCATACTTGCTCTACCTCCCAGAGCTCAGAGTTCCAGAAGCCCAGAGAGGAACCCGCTGCCCCAGCACCCTCTGGCTTCCATCCTGGGCATCAGCGGAGCTCGGCAGAAGCTCAGGCAGACCTTCCCACCCAGAGCCACCCCCTGGGTCCGCCTCGCCCCGCTGCCCTGGCCCCCCGCAGCCTCGGTGCCTGGGGTCAAGGGGCTGTGGATGCAGCCCAGCCTCGGACCCAGCTCCAGCCCTGTGCAGAGCTCGGGGCCTTGGACGTGAACCTTCAGCGCTAGCTGGGCTCCGAACAAACTTGCAATTTCCGCGCGCACCCCCCTCCCGCCCCCCGCAAGCGGAGCGGTCCCCCCACACCCGGCTCCCTGGCTGCACCCCGGCCCGCAGACCAGAATCCGCACCCCGGGCTCAGCCCCGGAACAGGGTCGGTGAATCGGCGAAAACAAAAGAGTTGTGGAGCAATTTTCCCGGCAGGGGGTGGAGGTGTCTCCGGGGTCCCCGCACCCCGACTCTCCCCCCGGCTGCTCCCCTTTGGCAACTAACTCATCCCGATCCGGGAAGCGGGGCCACCACGAGCCCCCGCTGCCCGTGAGAAGGAGCCAGGCAAAGAGAAGGGCAAACTGGAAAAAAAAAAATAAAATAAAATAAAAAACTCAATTCTCTCCGTCTCTTGCCTCGGTTCCGGGACACCAGACACACCCCCAAAGTACACCGTGGTTTTCTCCTAATTTTTTTTTTTTTTTTTTTTAATAAACGCCCCCCGGCAAACCTAGGCAGGGGATCCCGAGTCGCGAACAGCAGGAAGGAAAAATCTCCGAGCAAATCGTGTCACTTTCCGCACCATCGCGGCGCCGGGCAAGCCCCCCGAGCCGCTCTCCGCGGGGTTCCCTCCCGGAGCGGAGCGCGCACCGCGGCCCCGGCTCCATGAGCCCCGCGCCCCGCGCCCGGGGACCGGCCCCGCCGCCCGGCCCGCCGCCCCCCGCCCCCGACCCCGCGGCCAGACCCCGGGGAGACAAAAGCAGAGGTTCACCTTGTTGCAATAGTAGGGGTCCAGGCAGGGAGAAGGTCCCAGACAGGGCGCGTCGGGAGCAGAGGCGGCGGGCTGGGCTGGCGGTGGATAAAACCTTACGTCCATTGCACTCTCACATCAAGCAACTCCTTTTCTTTTCTTTTCTTTTCTTTTTTCCTTTTTTTTTTTTTTTAAACAAACAAAAAAAAAGTGTTCAGCAAAAACAAGCTTGCACGGAACCCAGAGAGGTGTCTGGACTCGGGAGTAAAAAAGAAACACCTTCCTTCCCTCACATCCGTTTGCGGTTTGTTTAAGAAGAGGAGGAAAAAAAAAAAAAAAAAAGAAGAAGAAGAAGAAGAAAAAAAAAAAAAAAAAGAGGGGGGGGAAAAGTGCTCAACTCTCCCCCGAGCCGCCGCGGCGCGCACCCAGCTCCGCTGCCGCCGCCTCCCGGCCCCGCGCCGCCGCCGCTGCAGCCCGGCCGCCGGGCAGGTAACTTCATGCGCTCATTGTCCCCCCGCCCGTCCCCCCATCCCCGCCTCCCGCGCCCCGGCCGCCCGCCCGCCCGGCACACGCGTCCGCGCTCGGCGGGCTCTGAGTCCTGGGCGTTTTATTGGGAGTCTCGGAGTTTGCTCTTGCTTTTAGTTCCTTTTCTCCACCTTTGGAGGCCTGCGATGGTGGCGGGAAGGGGATGCGGGGGGCGATGCGGACCGGGCTTGATGGGGAGTGAGTGCTCCGGGCCGGGTGGGGTGGGGTGGGGTGGCTGCGCCGCAGGACGCGGGCTGCTCGCGGCCCCAGTGATCGGTCGGGCTCCGGCCGGGGGCTGGCGGAGGGAGGGACGGTGAAGCGGGAGAAAAGCGCGGCGGCCGGGCCCGGGACGAGGCAGCGGGACCCCAGGGAACCTCTGCTGAAGCGCCCGAGCCCCGCTGCTCCCGGCGGCGGCGCGCGGGACACAAAGGGGCTGGCGAGCCGGAGGCGCTGGCGGCCGCGGGGCGCTGCGGGGAGCGCGCAGCGAGGGGGCGCTGTGGTTCACCCCGCCCGCGGCCCCGCCCCCGCCCCGGGGACCGCCCCGGCCCCGCCCCGCGCCCGCTGCGCCTCCGCGGCGGCTCACTTCCTTCTCTGGGTACCCCACCTCCCTGCCCATGGCTGTCCCTACCCCGCTTCTGCGCCCCCATCCTTACATCCAGTCCCGGGGAGGGTGACTGGTCCACGCAGCGCCGCTCTCGGGGACCGGGAAGCCCGCAGAGAACGCGGACCCTCGGTGCGCTGGGAGTGGGCTACTGTCCCAGGGACCCCAAAGACGGACCTCAGGGTGTGAATGAGCTGTTCTTCACTCCCTTCTCCAGCCCCCGCCACCTGGCGATCTGTGATCTGTGCCCCCCTGGAGGGTTGCGGAGGCTAGGACTACCTTAAGGACTCGGAAAAAGACCCACAGGGATGACTCAAAGGGGAACACTTATCAGCACACACAATAGGGCTAGAGGGGAAACACCTGAGCTTGCTAGTGGTCCATTATGGCAGTGTTTCCCAAACTTCTCTCATGATGAGAATCACCTGGTGGAGTTGTGAAACTACAGATTCCTGAATCCCAACGAAGAAGTGCTAAACTATTATAGAATTTTTGGGAACATATAGGTAAAATTGTATACTTAACTAGTGCTCTAAGACAGCACTAGTTAAGTATACAATTTTACTAGTTAAGTATATAATTTTACCTATATGTTCCCAAAAATTCTATAATAGTTTAGCACTTCTTCGTTGGGATTCAGGAATCTGTAGTTTCACAACTCCACCAGGTGATTCTCATCATGAGAGAAGTTTGGGAAACACTGCATTATGGGATTCTTGTCTTTTAATGGTGGGAAGCCCGGCAATGCTCTCAGAGGTCGGAGGACAGCCTAGAAATCAGTCTCCCCATTTTTCTGATGGGTATGTGGGACGAGGAAATCACCAATCGTGTTTTCCCGCCTTATCTCTTAAACCCGGACACTTGCAACTTCGTGTTGCAGGTGTTTGGAAAGGTTTGGAGTACCTTGGCTACTGTCCAACAGATTCCCGGCTGGGGCTCCGTCCTTGGCGGAAAGCCCACGCGGGAGTGGGTAATATGTACCTCCTCAGGAGGGAGCAGCCCACACACTAGGACCCAGGATCCTGCAAAAGAGCTTGGACATACTTCATCTGTCCCATTGCTCCTGGCACCCGGAGGATGCTAACTTTTCGCCTTCTTAGTGTCCTGAATGCACCTGGATGACCAGCTGCTCTGCAGCTTTCCCACAGCTATAGGGCTTCCTCTGCAGTGAGAGCGTGTACTAGCGGAGAAGTGGAAGAAAATCTACGAAGGCAGTGTAAGAAATGACGAAAATAACATGGTTGGGCATCCGTACATGGCTCCTTTAGGTACATTTTTGTTAAGCATTGCTTTCTGCTCCTTACAACATCTGACTCTTAAGCCAGTGTTTTCTTTCTTCCCTTCGTCATTTTTAATAATAGCCAACATCCAGCTTTCTCTCTGTCTTAAGATTGACATGGTGAAGATTGGTGTAAGAAGAGAGAATAAGAAGAAAAGAGTTCCTCTCCAGTGGATTCAGAAGAACCTCCATATTTACAGGTCCTTCGAGGCACAAAATAATAAGAAATAGAAAAAAATATGTTCTTCCCCTTAATAAAGGTCTTTATAATAAAATGTAAATGAAGTTTTGTTGTTTGCAACTTCAGTGTTCAGAATTTCAACTGCAGATGCTAAAATGTGCTTTCCACAATTTAAAGAAAACAAACACCCCTTTAGGTTAAAATTAAATATTTCTAAGCTTAAATTTTTGTCATCGATCCAGCCTTTATTACCAACATGTTGCATCATTTTAAAATGCAAATTTTAAAACTCCACTGGACTCCATAATTGCTTTCTATTGGATGGTTCTGTGAACTGCGGGAAGGTGAAGTGGTTTGGGTTGGGAGCAATAAATATTATTTTCAACACCTTGACATCCGGGGAAGATAAAGACATCCCCACTTTGCTCCACAGACCTCCCACATTGCTCCGACTTAGGAAACCCCAAATGCATGGGCCCTGTGTGTCCCTCTAGTTCCACGGTCGGCAAACTGCGGCTCTCCAGCCACATGCGGCTCTTTGGCCCCTTGAGTGTGGCTCTTTCACAAAATACCACAGCCTAGGTGAGTCTATTTTGAAGAAGTGGCATTAAAAGTTTAAGTTTAAAAAATTTTGCTCTTGCCGAAACCCGTTTGGCTCAGTGGATAGAGCAGCAGTCTGCAGACTGAAAAGTCCCAGGTTCGATTCCTGTCAAGGGCATGTACCTTGGTTGTGGGCACATCCCTAGCAGAGGGTGTTCAGGATGCAGCTGGTCGATGTTTCTCTCTCATTGATGATGATGTTTCTAGCTCTCTATCCCTCTTCCTTCCTCTCTGTAAAAAGTCAATAAATTATATTTTAAAAAATAAATAAAATAAAAAATTTTGCTCTCAAAAGAAATTTCAGTCGTTGTACTATTGATATTTGGCTCTGTTGACTAATGAGTTTGCAGACCACTGCTCTAGTTAACCAGGGGCCTGGTTTCTTCCATAGCGTCAGTGATAGGTTTGTGTATGGAGTGGTGTGATGGGTGCAAATGTGAGCTGTTGATTTAAAAGCTCGTAAGTCCAATCACTCATACATGGGAGAGTAGGCCTGAAGGTCAATTTGGGGTGGGGATGAAAATGGAGTTAATGATCGATCAATCATACCTACATGATGAAGTCTCCATAAAAATCCCCGAAGTACTGGGGTCGGAGAGCTTCTGGGCTGGGAACACATGGGGGTGTTGGGAGAATGGTGGTCCTGGGGAAGACAGGGAAGCTCAGCGTCTCTTCATACACACCTTGTCTTAAGATCTCTCTTATCTGGATGCTCATCTGCATCTCTCATCATAACATTTTATAATAAATTAATAAGCAGCAAGTCAACTATTTTCCTGACTTCTGTGAACCACTCTAGCAAATTAATCTAACTCAAGAAGTGGGCATGGGAAGTTCTGATTAATAGCCAATTGGTCAGAAGCATAGGTAACAACCTGGTCTTGTGATTGGTATTTGAAGTGGAAGCGAGCGGGGGGGGGGGGGGGGGGGGGGGGGGGGGGAGGCAGTCTTGTGCAACTGAGGTCTCACCCTGTGGGATCCGAGGCTCTCTCCAGGTAGAGAGTTGAAATTGAGTTAAGTTGTAGAAACCCCCAGCTGGCATCACAGAGTTGCTTGATGTGGAGAAAACTCGCACATATCTGGTATTGTGACTGTGCTGAGTGGGTAAGAGCAAAAGGAGACATACAGGAGGAAGACCCAGTTTTCCCCAGCTCAGTGAATTGTGAGCATTGATTTTTTTAAAAAAAAGTTCTGCCTGGCTGGCATGGCTCAGGGGTTGAGGCCTATGAACCAGGAGGTCAAGGCATATGCCTGGGTTTCCAGCTCCACCTCCAGTGGGGACCATTCAGAGGGGCAGCCAACTGATGATTCTCACTCATCATTAATGTTTCTAGTTCTCTCCTTCCTTCCCCTCTGAAATAAATAAAAATATTTCAAAAATAAAAGCTCTAACTTCAATCACTCATCCATAGAGAGTAGACCACAAAGGCCATATCAGTGTAATCCGGAAAAATACTCTCTGTTCATCTGAAAGAAATTATTATAATGCTCCACCCAAAGCCCATCATACTTTAAATGAGTGTACTACCAAGAAAAACTTGGGGAAAGTTCATTAGCTAAACCTCTTAGTAAACCTTATTAACTTGGAAGATACAACAGTAGAGTGGCATGTTACTTATCAATGTCTAGGACATTCAACTCTGTATCATGGCTAAATTTACTCATTTATCTGTCCATTCTTTGGTACATTATTCAGTGAAGACAGATGATGCGAGCAAAGCACTATGCTATGTGTTGTGTATAAGGTGATATATTAAAAACAATTAAAACAGTTCCTGCTTTAGATGTGTCTATAGTCTTCCAGAGCTGTATTTCTAACCTTGTCTGGTCAGCGGAGTCACCCTAGAAGCTCTGAATGATATCCATTCCTGGGCTCCTCCCCCACAGATCCTGATGTCATTCATTTAGAGTTAGTGTCTAGGCTCAGGAATTTTTCAAAGCTCTCCAGTGGTTTTAACTTTTAAGAAAGATTGAGAAACACTGGTCTAGAAGGAAGGATAATATGGGCACAAGTGTAATGTTAAAATTTTAGTGAATTAGATTTTGTGTTGGTTTTTTCAAGGGGAAACTGAGGGTCACCACTCCCACAACCCTGCTGTCTGCACTGCCCAGTTAGATAATGAGGATGGCAATTCACTCAGTTATTACAACGAAACACAAGTGCATTGTGGTATAAAGGCCCAGGTTACTATGTGGTCATCTGAACTAGGAACTTTATAAACCCTAATTACCAGAAAATGTGTGTCCATGAACAGAACGCCTTCTCAACGAGTATTGATGTAATAATTTATGAAATGTCTACCATGGCCTAGACCTGGTCTTAATTTCTTTACATTTAATTTCACTGTTTCATTTAGTTTTACAAATTTCTTTGGAAACCTAACCAGTAATTACAAACCACACTTAGCATTTTATTTTTTCCCCCCTCAACATTACTCATCTTCATTTTAATTATAGTTTCATAATTGTTTTGTTTTCAACTTTGCAATTGTTTTCATTGACCACATTTTATGTTTATTGACTCTTTGTACTAAAAAGGTAAGTCCTAAATCTTTTATTAATGCCTCCAAATTACATATACCAGTAGAATGTGTTACTTGAGGGAAAATACCCTCTAGACAGTTAATCCTACCTGTGATTTATGAGAGTCTTATAAAACTCATTTAACAACCACAAAATGGCACTTCTTGAGGGGCATTTTTGGTTAGTTTTTCTTGACAGGTAGAAGTCCTCACATATTGACTATGGGAATGGAGCATGTAATAGAGAGATTTATTTTGAAATGCCAAAATTAAAACTAAGCTCAAAGCATTCCATATTTTATAAGTAAATTAACATACAGCCCTTCACTGGCCACCTCTTAAATATGAGCTTTCTAGTAATAGCTGATGCCTCAATCTCTCCTGTAGAATAAAGCCTTGTTTAAAAAAAAAATCCATTCATTCAACATCTCATATGGGCCACTTTGTATTATAAGGTTTCTTGTTATTCATGTGTTCATAGGTTTGCCTTTCTAACAAGGTCATGGGGTGAAACAGCTATGTTTGTTTCCTCAGTGTTTCCAACATTGAGTCTTACATATTCTAAAGGTTTGAAAAATATCATTGATGTTTTGGTGAGAAATGTTTACATTTTTCCAGTTTGCTAGTTAGAATTTACTATTGCCCAGAGTTATTCAATAAATTGAAAACAGAATGACACAAAAAATAATATCATGCAAAGGGAGGACATAGAACACTAAAGTTTATTTCCTGGGGAATGACTAGATTGTAAGTCTTTAGACCAGAAAATAAAGGATTCTGAATGATAAGGAAAGTTTAAAGGAAATAATATAGGGCCCACAGATACCTCACACGATACTAAATGACTCATAAAATGCAGTATTTTTTTTTTTTTTTACATAGTATGGGAAGTGTGCCATGCTTGTACCATTGAGTGTGGTACAGTACTTTGATCTGCAACAATATTCAACATTTGTGGCATAATAGCTATAATAGGACTATTCAGCTATTTTACATGGCAATAATCCAGTTCTCTCTCATCAGGATAAACTGTGAGGACAAATCCTTTCAAAATCAGAATTAGTTCCTTGTAGAAGAGTGAGGCACAATTATCCCTTAAATAGGAACAGCTGCAACATGGTATCGGCCTGGAACAGAGCAGTGAAGTGTTTTTCCAATGCAATTAAATGGATTTTTTAATGCAAACTAATATTCTATAAAAAGTCAATTGGAAGGTGAGTAAGTGTGGAGTTGCTGAGATGAAAGGAACAATCATTTTGCTTATGGGAGTTAATATTCCTGCCTTAACAAATGCTATTTTTGGTGAAAATGGATAATCAAGGCTCATGCTTTCCCCAGAAGCAGGGCCCATAAGGGAACCAGAGCAATACAAAGAAAAGATCATTCTGGTTTACTTGTACACTGTGTGTCTTATTTTGAACTGTGTTCATCGCTGTGTGTTGTTGTTGTTTTTCAAAAAAGGGATATGGTGAGTCAACAGCCACACTTCAATTTAAAGAGGAAAGGTAGGTAGCACTTGGGTGGGGAAAATATAAATATAACTCATAGGACTTATATTAGTCAGCGAGACACAAAGTCTTAGAGAGACACAAAGAGGGGCAGCAACTTCGTGTTTTTGCCACAGAGATGATTAAAGGATTGAAAAATAAGACCTTTAAGAAAGATTAAAGGACCTGCCTAAAGAGGGTAATACTGAGAAGCAATGTAATATCTTCAAATTGTGTATCTCAAGAGTTCTTTCATAAACAGGGAGAGCGCACCTCTAACTGCAGATAGGACATGAGGAAATGGATGTAACACTAGAGCATTGATATTGAGTCACATGTGGAAAGAATTTTCCCCAGCGATCTTCCATGCAGTGGCCAGGGAGAGGGTGAGCTCTCCATAGGACTAATTTTAAAATCTCTGCACCCACCAAAAGTTTGTCAGCTTACCCATGACCCATGGACACCCCTCCTCTTCTTGACATAAG